AAAGATTACAAAATAACGATCTTTGCAACACTTCGACAGAAAGAGACTACAAATCGACGGTCTCTTCAAATCAAGACGTGAAAGTCCTCCTCGCGTACCAGCATCAAGATGCGCCACGTTCATAGCCACGAACGCAGCTCAGACGCAGCCTCTGAAAGCTACAAACGTAGCTTCTATCCGCTACCAAACGCAGCTTCCATCCGCTGCCAAACGCAGCTTCCATCCGCTGCCAAACGCAGCTTTCAAATCGCTGCAAACGCAGCTCAGATGCAGCTTCCAACGCCGCAAATGCAGCTCTAAAAGCTGCAAATGCAGCTCAGATTCAGCCGCCAACGCAGCTCATGTTCGGCCGCAAACGCAGCTTCCAACAAACTGCCAACACAGCTTCTAACAAGACGCTACGTCCGAGCCTCCAGTCGCTGCGTTCAAACGCAGATTTCATTCCAGAATGCAGGATTTGCGTTTGACTCGTTCAAACACGAGCTGAACGGTTTCAAAACCGTTTCTCACGATCTGAGGGGATCACAACTCCACTCAGGAGTGATTTAAGGGGCGGTTACATCCCATTAGCCCCACTTAGGAGCGAATTAAGGGGGTGGTTACACCCTTTAATCCTCTATAAATAACTAAAAATCAATTCAGTTCAGGGTTTCGGTTCTGATCCTTCGGCTAGGACTCCTTGGCAGCAGGGGCTGGATCTTTCATCCTTCTTTTTAGTAGCAAAGAAGAGATCTTTGGCTTGTTTAACCAATTACGGTTAAGATCAATCAACTCATCAAGAGTTCTAAAACTTGCTTTGCAAGTTCTCCACAACGTCAAATCGTGAGGAGAAGACCACGTTCCAGTGAATCAAGACGTTCGGATCGTCAACGGAGAGCAAATTCGACGCAAGCATTCGAAGGAGGCACTCCATCGCCACCGTGAAGAACCCAGAATTAAACAAAGGGGAGAATTCAGATTCATTCTCCTCTCTTTTGTAATCAGGAAATCCAATTGTAATCGAGATTGAGAGAGTTGTAATCATTCTTTTTCTAAGCAGTTAGAGAGAATAAATCAAAATACGATTCTTTCATTATTTTTCTTATTACAAATTTTCCACAAACAGCATCACAGATAAGCAAGTATCACAACAATTAATAAACTGGTAAGTATAAGCTGTTTAGAGAAACTTATAAGCCTTTTTGCGTTCGACAAGGAACTGCTTCATATTCGAATGTTCTGAATGTCGATGCCTAGTCGAATCCACTCACCATCCTATCTAAAAATAACTGGTTTGTAAACACGTCTCCACCCCATACCTCATGGTCAGCGGAACTATAATGTCTGTATTTTTTTGCCCCAAATTGACCTCAAGGACTTGCCAATGATCAGCATAACATATCAGAATTATCAGAACATCCTTCCCATCATCTATATGCTTCTTTATATACTTTTTATAGACATTTTTCTCATCCAAATTTGAAGTAGTTAGCAACCAAACCATTAGAAAAAAGAAAATAAGGGGAAGAAAGTCAAATAACATATAAATGCAATATAACTTGTAAAAGTATTATGATCGATATTACTCACCTTAAATTATGATGTGATCATGTCAAATTTTCTTTCTCGGTCAGCATTTTCAGGTAGCTTGAGCCATTTTTGAAGTCTTGTAACTAGTGCTTCAATGGTCTAATGATTACAAATGTAATAAATCATATAAATATCAAAAACTTGAATAACACCGCAAGTTAAATAAAATCTAACCTCGTCCTTTAATCTTCCACCACGTAGAAGATGAAGCATATCGTATCTGTTTATAATTTGGTTGTCAACCTCCTAAACAGTCCTCTTTCTACATAATATGCATAATACAATCAACATATAAGTATCACATAGCATTCTTTATCACAGACTATATGTAAATATCACAGGAAACAGTTACACTGTGACGCCCCTGGGTTCACACAAGGCTGCAGTCCAAGGTAAAACCAGATATGTTAAACCTACCATGTACCCACACTGTGCATAAACATGTTTCACCAATCACAGTAATATCCTTTAGTAGAACCAAATAGAATTGCAGGTACAAACATGTAAAATAAAGGGAATAAATGTAATAGACATGATATAGAAGAAATATCTCAAATGAAAAGAATCATGTCTCAACTATAATACATCTGATATCTGAATAATAACAATGTCTCAACATGAATCAACTAAGAATCATACTAAGGCACACTGTCTTTACAATATGAATATGAAACTCTAATGTCTGGATAAAACTCAAAACTACAGTGGAGTCTCTACAAGTAAAAAATACGCGACGACGACTATGTTAGAACTTCGTTACCTCGCGGCTCTCCGAAACTCCGAACTACCTGAAAAGGTATTTTTAAAAGAAAAAGAAACAACAACAAGAGCGTCAGAGCGCTACAGCAAGATTCCCCCATCCACCCCCAGGAAAAGGGCTACTAGATGGAGTGAAGGCTATATCTATTAAGCATAGTCTACCTAGACTCATTTTCCCCGTATCTAAGTAGGATTAACATTTAGAAACCTACAACGTGAGACGTAGTACGTCGAGCGAAATAATCCAAACAAGGAAACTCTCATGTATATACCATAAGTCTTAAATTACATATATCTAAACATTAATACTGAACTAAGAAAAGACAATCTAATGAAACCAATAATTAGAAATCCATAACACGAGACTGGTACGTCGAGCGAAATAATCCAAACAAGAAAACCCTCATGTATATACCATAAGTCTAAAATTGTGAATCTCTAATCATTGATCCCAACTAAGAAGTAAAAAAAGACAGTAAAAGAAATAAGATATCAATACATCGTATTTATAATATCTTCCACAATCACTGGAGAGATAGAATAAAAATACCAACACATAATTTTGTATACTTTCAAAAGTAACGCATCTCAGTTATATAGTTCAATGATAGGTCGTATTCATAATCAGCATCTGTCATACTTAGGCTATTAAGTAATTGTCTCAGTGCAACGGACTACCCTGTAGGTATCCTGAACTGTGTACACGGCTCATTAGTATCATCATGATCTCAGTGCATAACATGAGTGTAGGACGGACTACCAAATAGGCATCCTAGAAATATAGCTCACGAGCCTCATCGCACCCTAGTGCGGAACGGACGGCTAGATCAAGCCTCCTAAAATCCGATTCAATGGCATGTACATGTAGAATATAGACGTACTACCTCATGTAGTATTGAACTGAGCTCATCAATGATATCCACCTCATGTATAAACTGTGTATATCTGGTGTGTCGACGCACTATCACATATAGTACTAAGTTGTGCTCATCAACGACATCCAACATGTATATGAACTATATCAAATTCAAATATGATCAAATCAAAATTTATCATAATCCCCTTCGGATTCTTAAATGTATAACATAACATATTCATGACTATACGTATAACATCAAGCGGCTCAAAACTCCACGAACGCACCTCAAAACGGCGCAACACAGCTCCACAAAACGAGCAGGAAAAACAGACGTGATATCTGTTAGTAAAACAAGTATATCTTTCTCTAGAAAAACTATTTTTACAAATGGTTTTATGTTTTGAAAACTAGATTCACACATATTTCAAATGACATAAGTTTGGTTCAGTTTGGAGTTCATTTGTTATCCCAAATCTCCAGTTAAACATTATATATGTGCAGCCATTTTTCTACAAGACATGTTGTTAGTAAATATAACATATCTTTCTCTATATAAACTCTTTCTAAGAATGATTTTCTGTTTTAGAAACTAGATACATATATCTTTCATATAAAACTAGTTTGGTTAAATTTGGACTTTGTTTGTTATCTTAAACTCTCAATTAAAAATTATATAAGTGCTGCAGTTTTCTGCAGAAAAACATATATATAGTACATCACTTAAATTTCTCATATTTGAATAAAATTATGAAAAACACTAATGATCATGATCATGATACTATCATAAACAGTAAGAAAAAATTATTAATCTATCATTTGTTTTAAGGTTTACTATCAAAAATCTGACTTTTAACACCTTAGGTTAAGATTAAAGCATGAACACATATTCAACATCATATTAATCATCTACACTAGTTATTTAACTATGGGGATAGGTTTGGATGAAGATAATCTTACCTCAAATGTCATTCTAACCTTCTGAGATAACCAGCAAGCAATTAGAAGTGCAAACAACCCGTTTTCTCCTTACTACACGTCGATGATCTCTATATATATGCAAACCCAAAATAAACTCATTTGACCCGAACCAGGAAACCTAGTCTGACTAGGAAAATAATCTTTGATATTTTGGCAATAACTTTCGCGTCTGACCTCGGAATGAGGTGATATAAGATTTGTTGGAAAGCTGTTGAAAAGACCTACAACTTTAGTATTTTGAGTTTTCCCAGATTTTAAGTACATAGTTATGTAAAATCTATAAACTCTTAACTGGTCATTTTTTTCTCGTGCATGTTTTGTGCATTTGCACTCATATATTCATATATATGTATCAGATTGATCTCAAATCAATTCCTAGCATACTCAAATATCAATAAATGTTATTTATCACCATATAACATGTTTATTATTATATCTCACAACATTCAGTATTACGGGGTTTTACATACACGTCACGCAAAAACCACTGATTATCATAGAATAATGTAAATATCATAGCTAAATACTAAACATCACAGAAAAATAGTAATTATCATAGTGTAAATGTAAATGTCACAGGAACTTAGTAACTATCACAAACTAAATGTAATTATCACAAAGAAATAGGTAAATGCCACAGGAAATCACTAACTATCACAGACGGTATGAAAATATCTCACATGAAATTCATAAATAACTACTTAATAGTTACTTGTCCACTTTTAACGTCAGAAAATGTTGAAGCCACTTGTTTTCATCATCCGATAAATCAACAACATCCTGAATAGTGATATTTTGATAAAACCCTTCTTCGACCGCTCCCGGGAACCTGATATCAAAGTCTTGCAGAGAAGAAATGCCCATACTCAACACCCCCAATATTTTTTTCTTCTCTAGTTTTTTCCCTTCTCCATAACTCTTCTACAGATGTTCTCATATTGGCATATGAAATTGCAAGTTCCTTCTCCTCTTCCTTCTCCCTCTTGTCTTCATCATCTTTCACCACAAAGACAACTTTCTTCCATTTGCTTCTTTTCCTAGGGATAACTGTTTGGAATGGAGATTCTAAAAACTTGGGCTTCTTTGTTGTTCTCTAGCTCTTTGCCTGTAGCCCCTGAATAAATTCTTTCAACGTTTCACCTCTTTCCTCCCTCCTTTTCCTTCCTTTTTTATTTTCAGTAACTTCGTCAGTTACTTTCACCTCTTCAGGCTGTATAAAGATCACAGTTAATAAGTTTATGTCACAAAAATAGGACATGAGCAAATATCACAGGTGAAATTTATGTATCACAAATAATGAGCAAATGACACAGACAAATTGTTTAAGTCACAAAAGTAAAATAACTATCATAGGAGTGTATAAATATCACAACAAATAGTCATCTTCCATAAATAATAGGGAAGTATCACAGGGCAGATGCAAATATCATAGGAAACATGCACATATCACAGGAAATTATTAACTGTTACAGAGTATAAGTAATTGCCACAGGTAACACGTAAGCATCACAGGAAGTAAGTAATTATCACAAGATTTACGTTAAGTGTTACCTCCTCAACTTCAATGACCATGTCTACTCTGTCATCCTTAACTTCCTCCATTTCTTTGCCTTGATCATCTTCTTTCTCTGTCTCATCTTTTCTCTCTATTTGAGCCGAGGTTGCATAAATGTCAAGACAATAAATGAAACTTTACAAAGAAAAAACGGGCACATGAAACAGGAAATAAGTTATTACCTCCTCATCTTTTTTTCCTCTTCCTTGTTTCTGTTTAGCAAATCTTTTCTCAATATCGGCCTTAATGGCCATCATATCAACGCTGCGAGCAACAAGTTCTTGCTCATAGACTTTGTTCAACATTGACAGCTTGTCATAAACTTTAGTCTACATTAACAATTATGTTTCAGTGAGCAAATGCCACATATAAGAAGTGCACACATAAAGTTCATATAAACACTACATCTATCATAATAAACTGGCAAATATCACAGGGAATAATCAATTGGCACATATAACAATGTACCACAGTCTACATGTAAATATTACAGAAAACAGATAAAAGTCATAGAGTAACACTTATTATCACAGCCAACATATAACAGTCACATGCAATAAATAATAATCACATAAAAGACTATTACCACAGTCAAAATGTAAACAATAATCACATAAGAATTAGCAATAAATAATAATCACATAAAAGACTATTACCACAGTCAAAATGTAAACAATAATCACATAAGAATTAAACTTATCTCACCAATGCAACAAAGACTATTACCACAGTCAAAATGTAAACAATAATCACATAAGAATTAAACTTATCTCACCAATGCAATAGTCGATTGACTCATTTCCTCGTTTTAAACTCTTTTCTTTCTTAAATAGTTTTCGGAGTCAACTTCCTCCTATCCTTTTGCCTTCATCTTTCTAGGCTCTTGCTTGATCTCCTCATGGACATACCGCGGTATATCTTGCTCCGGTAAGATTTAGATTACGGCTTCTGATTTCTTCATAATCATTGCAGTCCGCAACGAACCTATTTTCTTACCTTCTAATATCTAGTTTGTCATTGATGACTTGGAATCATTGACTCTGGCTGGCTCATTGATGTTTGTGTAGGGTCTGATTTTGCTTATGTATACCAAGTGTAGGATCGTGACCCATAAGAATAGAGTGCGCTCTTATAAAAATCTATGGAAGCTTTACACTTAAACACTAGAGGGTAAGTTTGCAAAGTAGATTATAAATTGTAAAGAAAGAATGTTAATCTCAGAAAATGAATATCACAAACACAAGCATGTATACTGGTTCCATTTCCCCGGTGTACATCCAGTCCCCAAGCAAATCCTGCTTGAGAGTTTCTACTATGATTTTGAAACCTTACAAAATCAAAAGCAAACCTGACCAATTTATAAGACCATGTAAATTATAAATCCAATTGACAATATCATGCCAATTGTAAATCGACCTCTAAATCAAGAGATCAACCCCTCTTATAAACCAAGAGAACCATTTAAAGCAATATACAATTCTAATCCTATAAACCTTGATGTGGATGTGAACATGTAATAATGGTTTATCAATCATTTTAACTCTCTGAATATTACCTAAACAAGCTCTAAGAATGATAGGAACAAAGGCAATATCAGAAACTCTCTTTTATGGAAAAACAGATCGAAAAACTAAAAGTTTAGAAAGTTAATTTGCACAATATAAGAATCTTATAAGTGAAAAACTTTGTGCTTGTTTTCTGATGTTTAAACCTATTTATAGCCTCTGAAATGACATAATTTAAACCCAATTAACGTCCACAAAATGACTATAAACAGTCACTTATTCAAAACCTGAAATCTGGAAAAACTACATCTGTAGTCGACTATAAGTCATAGTAGTTGACTACACTGAGTCTAAACAGACTCTGTGAAGTCAGAAAATTTCTTAGTAGTCGACTACAAGGTATAGGAGTCGACCACATTGTAAACTCACAGATTCTGGAATTCTGTTTTTAGTATTTTGACTGTAACTTTCTCATCCGACCTTAGAATGAGGTGATTTAAGATTTGTTGGAAAGCTGTTGAAGAGACCTACAACTTTGGTCTTTTGAGTTTTTCCACTAAGCGGTATAAATAAAATATTTTAAGACTTACTCAATATCTATAAACTCTAATGGCTAACATAGGGGATTTCTAATAAATAAAATATTTTAAGACTTACTCAATATCTATAAACTCTAATGGCTAACATAGGGGATTTCTATTATTAACCAACATACTAAGCATGTGTTAATGTGTTCTAACACTATGTGTGTGCATGTGTGTGAGTAATCAAGGCTTGTACAAATTTCTAAGCAAAGAAAATGTAAAATTATATTTTGACAATACAGTATATCTTATTCTTTGCTTCATTTTGCCTTGAACTCATCTATGTCTTGAGTATCTCTTAGAATATAATTGTTGATATAGTTTTGATACTACAAAACAAATATTATCATATAATACACACAACATATAATATTTGTTATCATCAAAATAAACTAATCTTGGGGTCAAGATTCCTAACAGTTTGTTATCTCATAGTATCATAGCTTCAAAAAAGCAATATTCAATCAATAAAGTATCACAAGTTAGATACAAATATCACATGTAAAAGACAAAGGTCAGAAGTTAGATACAAATTTCACATGTTAACTACAAATTTCACAATTAAACAATACATATCAGGGATAAATGTCACATATGGGACACAAACGTCATATATGAGTATCATATATCACATGTAAAAGACAATAATCACATATAAGGGGAAAATATCACGTATTAACTACAATATCACAATTAAACAAAGCATAGAAGGGACAAATATCACATATGAGGCACAAACATCACATATTAGTGTGATATATCACATGTAAATAAGAATGATCACATATAAGGTGCAAATGCAACATATTAATTACAAATAACACAGATAACTTATCGATAGTAAGGGAGCGCAGCCGTTAAGATATGTATGCCCCTTTTTAGCTATCTTGGCAGCTTTGAAAGAGTCCCACAATTCATTGTAGATGATTGTCGCCCATGAAAAATGATCAACCACATTTATCCGAGTCATATACTTGAACATATGCCGCGGTGCATTCATTCTAGCGGTTGGAGTCCATATCATTGTGAGTTGATAAAGGATTTGAAGCATAACAAAAGTAAAAACATCCGATTTCTTTTTTGACTGAACCAGTTTATCCAATAAGGCCTCAAGGTAATCTCGGCCACTCTTATATTTTTCTTATTGCTTGTTGTTGAAGTATGTACTCCATATCCTACTCGCGGTATCGCAATTCTCTTCTGGTTTCTCCCATTCATCCTTGAACCAGGTATGCTTTTGCACCCGATTTACATCAAATGTGTAGGCTCGTCTTGTCCCCGTTTGAATATTCTTAAAAAAAAAACTTTCCAGTGGCCAAATCTAGATGATCTAACAGTTGCATGACTTTGTCTGATGGAATTGCTCCAAAACTAATATAGTTTTGAAAATTGGAGGATCCATAAGCCTTCCAATGTTCGACCCTCATTCGTGGAACAATTCCATCCATGAATTCACAATATCCACAAATATTATAACATATTCTGATATCACCCTTGCTGTAGACCACAACACAACCGAAACTAAATCTACTTAGGGTTCTACTGTGGATAAATTCACAATGACAAACAAAATAAATGACCAAATGTGGATAATTCAGTTTATACTTACAACTCAACCTTTGTTGTTGCTGATTCAGATAATTCAGATGATGCAGATGGTGAATTCGTCATCCTGTATTTTCAGCAAACTGAGGGTTTGGTGAAGAAGATGGACTTGTCGGAGCTAGCGGATGACGAGCTTGCGGTCTGCGGGGTCCTTATCGGTGGACGACGAGCTTGCGGACGAGTAGGCGAGAGAATACCAAGATTGGAGCATCGACAAAGACGATTCAAAGTGAACCTGTAGGGGTTCTCGTCGGCGGCGGTGGAGGAGCAAGATATTGAGAGGAAGAGGGTTTCGAAAATTGGTTGCAGAGGAGGGTTTCGAAAATCACGCATAGAAGGGGAATTTCCGGAGCAATTTTTTTCCGTTATTAAATGGGAAGAGTAATTTCAAAATAGTTTTGTTGGGTAGTGGGTTTGTACAGTGTTTTGGGGTTAGTTGCACTCATGTTTCGGTATAAGGGCTGGGGAGCATTGGTTTTTCGGCTGGAGAGGAGGGTGCATAACTTAAGTTTTTGGAGTTCCTCTAAGCAATTTTCCTTTTTTTTTTCCTGGGCTTTGCTGACATTGGTCGCTTATTAAATCTTTAATGTTTTTAATAGAACCCCTCAAAACATTGAAATAGTTATTTAGCCCCCCAAATCCTAGTACTTATTACAAATTAGTACCTCAAATTTTATAACTTTTTATCATGGGTTTCAAGGTACATCCCCCAGTTTAACTTATTTCTAACCCAAACCGACATCTTTAAACCGGTTATATTCCAGATATGAGTTTTCCCAGACCCGTTATATTTTGTGTTTAGGGGCTGTTTGGTTTGTTTCCTAGATATAGGGAAATGCATTTCCATGTACAAAAACACAAGTTTTGATTTTTCCAAACTTTTCCAAAAAATAGATTGTTTCGCTTTGGTTCGCACAAAAAAAAATGGTGGGAAACCAATGTATTTTTTTTTTTTGTGTTTGGTTCGCATGGAAAAAAAGAAAAAACTTTTGTTTATATGGCAAAAAGCTGACGTGGCTGCAGTTTTCATCGATTTCACCAGGTTGAGGAAGGAATTGGGGGAGAGAAAAAAATCTGATGTGACGGCGATTTTCACCGAGTTTCCCTTCTTCAACCCTAGCGAACCAAAGATGGGAAAAGAAACCGACGGAAAGCTTATATCCTACGTGGCCACGAAAAATCTGATGTGGAGGCGGTGTAAAACTTTTCCAACGAGTTAAAAAACGAACCAAACAGCCCCTTATAGAAAACCTCTTCTGTAAATTTTTTGAAAATGATATCCGGAGACTACTAATTGTGTGTAGAAATGTTATTCATCAGATGTGGTTAACAACTAACATGAGTTAGCGATTTAGACGGGACAGCGACAGGGAGTAGTCGGAGACAACTAACAAGATTTGAGGGACTAAATCAAAACATTAAAAAGATTTTATCTTATCTCTAAACAATATTCAGGGTTGGGCCAATGGAGAAGAGAAAATTTTTGTAGCTAGGCCTTGGAGAAAAGAAGTTGGGCATCTCTGTTCGGACTTTAGGAGAGTTTTTGGGCCTTCGTTATTTCTTGGTCTCTCACAATTGAATCCTCGCTCAGGCATAAAAGAAAAGGGAGGAAAAATGATTTTTACGTAAACTTCCATCCACAACCTAAATTTTAGATTTATACAATTTGATTTCGTTAACTGTTACATTTGTCAGAACGTTGACATGGTTTTGTTTACGACCAAGAGAAAAGAGGAATTAGTGCCACATTTCACTTTAGAATTCTAAAGTCATGATGAGGGTTTTGAGTTACTAGCATATTTTCTCACAAGTTGAGAGCCTTTTTCCGGAGTCAGAGCATTGATTGTCATGCAAATTTTTAAATATGCTTAACTTAAATCAATAGTTGAATAATATATTTACGCATAGATTCTTATGATATCGTTTAAAGTCACTTTAGCAAATTATGGAGAGGATTATAACTTTATTCTGCAACAAAGAGAAGAGTTTGTTAGCTCTTGTGGACGGCAAGTTGGAAACCAGAGAGCAAAGAACATCAATCAGCCGGGAATTCGGAGCTTTCTTCATCAATTACTTTTTAGGATGAATTATGTCCAATATTTTCACTTACAACAAATTTGGTATCTAAAAATTATTAGATTGACATATGAAGTCCCCAGTTATTGAGGGATGTAATTAATGACTCTTTTGTTGCCGAATATGAGTATAGAAAATGGGATTCCTTAGCATTGTTCGTCGGGATCACGTCCTGCAGTTAAACATAAGCATGGTTCATATATCAGACACCAAACATGTATGCTTAATTATAGTACTACGATACATTGAGTCATATGAAAATGATCCACATCTGGTCATATAATTTGATGCAATAAATTAGACGCCATTATTTTTTTTCAGTGTCCTATAAAAAGTTCTCCTGATGTCATTGTTCCAATCCGAAGTATCTGCTTCAGAAATGAACAATATTTTTGTTTATTCAACAGTCTGTTCTGTTTGTTAGTTTTGCCTCCGGTAAAGTTTTGATGGTAAAAGGCTTATGGTATCGATGATAACTAAGAACTAGATAGGTAACTGTTTTTTACAGAGACTTTTAATCTTTGAATATGTCCCATTATTTAATGCAAGGATTGAAACCTTCAAGCTTTTATCTTGAGATAGAGGTCGTATCCTGCTTCTTATTGTGACAAATATTTGTAGGTATTTAAGCTTTCTTTGTCTTTATACAGTGAGGCCTCTATGTATGTCGTCATGTGAGCCTAAATTGCCGTAGGCTTCTTCTCCTTCCCTTGTCCCTGTTGTGAGGCTCAATACATCTATTTATAATGCAAACATGTTTCTCTTGGACACCTTTTACCAAAGTGAGCAAGGAGCTCAAGTAATATTTTCAGCGATGAGTTATATATCAGCATCATCGAGTTATCTGTTTCGATATCAAGGAGCTCAAGTAATATTTTCAGCGATGAGTTATATATCAGCATCATCGAGTTATCTGTTTCGATATCTACAAACTTGAATGGATCTTATAGGTTGCATTATAGTTTATAATGGTTATATTTGTTGAACAAGTTGCTGCATTAGGGGTTTGTTAACGTAACCAGCTCTCTGCAGAGACCAAAGTCGTATGCTCCTGGTATTCGAATTGGTATATTTGGAATCGTCCTGTGGAAATTCTTACTTTTGAGACTTTTGCACACCAAACTGGAACTGTCAAATTAAGTAGTAGAAACTTTACTTTGACGGCAATCTGCTATAGGAATACTTGGTTATGTGATGATGAAGGTTTGCTCAAATTACGTTACTGGCATTACATGACTGGCATTTCTATTGTTCTGTGATTTTTAAAAATGTTAAAATGCAGCACGAGAGTGCTCAGAACCACTATTACATTTTTTGGAGCCGGACTGAATCTTCACTATGCTTAGGAAAGAAGTGCTGTATTTTACGCGACAGTAGTTAAGTGTGCCCTTGCGCCAGTTTATGAAATGTTCTTGGATATTCATGAAGATTATCAAGATTCCCATATATTGTACATGTATCGTACCCGGGTAACTAGCTGCTTTCGTTGAGTGTCCATATTCTCCCCCCTACCATTCTGATTTATCAACTACTTTGTCGAGAAATATCACCGAGTAAAACATTCCATATTATCCCTTATATTACATCTGGCACATACATACATGGACATAAAATATCACCGAGTAAAACATTCCATATTATCCCTTATATTACATCTGGCACATACATACATGGACATATACGTATACAAACAAATATATATATGGGTACATGTATCCAGAGAAATATGCACAGAATATCCATCACTAATCACGTTGTGCACTATGTAAATTCCGGTCATATCATAGATTATGCCCTAACCGCCATGTTTCATAATATTTTCTTTTCGAAACTAAAAGAGTACCTGTTTCTGGAATCATTTAGCTACTGAAAAAACTCAGCTCCCAGGCACCAAATGATTGACAGAGAGAGGGAGAGAAATCAAGAACATTATATGTCAACTGAAACCTTGGTAGAAAGAAATTAAGACTAAAAGGAACAGTACTATGTTCACACGAAATTTGGTGTACAGACAACACAGGCTAAGAGGAGGATGGTAGAGGCAGCAGCGGAGTCTTCCTTATCGCCGAAGCAGCTCCTCTTGAACTTGCAGGCTTTCTGCAATCTCACAACTTCTTGCTTTGGCTCCTTCACTTTGCTCACATTTTCTTGCCCTTTTTTCTTCAGGGACTCCTGTTTGGTAGTTCTGCACTCTTCTGTTCTATAAACCATCTTCACTCTGAATAAAAGTTGGTTAAGAGCTTGTTCATAGGAGGCAGGCACTCATATGTGCTCCTTTTATAGAGGACATAAAGCAATTTGCTCTTTGCTTTATACGATCGTATGCCTTTTTTTCCCCTTTCATCTCTTAACTATCTCTTGTAATCCTTTTTGAGTAGTTTTGTTATTGAGACCAACTGCTGATAAGTTATACGGCATGATCCTGATTCAATATAGAGACAAGGGCCGCTAGTTTTTTTTTGGCCCTTTTGTTTATCATGAGGAGCCTTTCATGTGAGCAACCATGTGAGCTTGTTCCCTTGTGGTCCTCTTCTCCTCTATTCACATTTTCAGATTCAATGTATCACTGTAAATGCATGATTTCAAGCGATACTCACAAGATGATGATGTCAGTTCATCTTTTTTTCGTTCTCTGGGATCTTGATTTTAACTTTGAACTTAATAGCTTCATGCATGAGACATGTTTAGGGTTTTTTTTTTCCAATTTTTTAACACTGTATAGACATATATTTTCACATGTTCATGCATAGTATTCTTGGATCTTAAATATAACTAACATAAACACGTTCATAGGGCAAGCTTTTTTTGTTTCTTGAGGGCGTCTCTTCAATATAAACAGTTATTTCATTCTGGAGTAGCATATGGACTGAGGCTAATCTAAGCATAGCATTCATACTCCCAGTGTGAGATCTTTGATTAATTCAAATTAAAAAAACATTGTGCAGTAAAAGAAAAACAACTGTTTCTACACTTGTTAATTCAACAAGGTAATATTTGTGTTACATTGAGGAACAGAGAGCATGTAGTTTTGATTTGTAGGAGGAATATAATGTTAATAATTAACTAGAGTAAATTACAGGGGGCAGAAGATCTCTCTATGATTTTTAATGATAAGAAAAAATTCTCCTAATATTTTAAATGCAACGCTTTCCCTTATTTCATTTCTTTGTCAAATAACCATAAATTTTTTTTTTGATGTAATCATTATATTGAATCAACTGACATTTTTAAAACAATTAACGGGATTCTCAGTAATCCTGTGAACTCTGGGAGATTTTCTATAATTATACCCTAATAACTATCTCATAATATGTCTCATTCTTCTTATAGTCATCGCATATAGGAAGTTCTTTCCTCAACGGTTTTGTTGGAATATCTCCTTGGATGGCAGTCAATAAGAAGTAAAGAAAAAGAAAATGGAAGGCACAAATTCTCTACTCATTTATTATTCAATTACCTAATGATACCAATGGTCAAGCATGAAAGCTAATGTTGTTCATCAATACTCTTGCGATGCTATAAAGAGACAAAGCAAGGGAGATTGTGGTGCTTGATATGAGCCCATAATTCTCAACAGTGAGGTTCAATGCAAGGGAAAATGGGATGTTGGCAACTTTGAGAACATGACAAAGACTCTGGCTTTTCAGACTCTTTTGTTCATTCTCAAATATGAGGTAGACCCACAATGACTGCTCTCATCTTCTATTTAAGTGAATGATTGGGTCAAATAATACTGCTTAATTTTAAAATAATCTTGTACCAAACAGAGATAGCCTTTCTACATTTAGCTGTCTTGGGGTAAGAACAAACTAAGTACCACAATGATCACGCAGTCCTATAATTCATGACAGCTTGACTAGAATCTGCATGAAACAGAAGTTAATTAAATGACGTGGCTAAAAGAGGCATCATGCTCAGACCATAACCGTCTTTTTTTTATTGTAGGAAATTATGTGATCCGGACCCTCTCCTAATGAAAAGCTCCTAATATCTCCTAATAAGGAGATCCTATCCTTTCATTTTCATCATGGCCTTTCATTTTCTCACTCATCCTTGTGGACCCCCCTCCCAACTCTTCACAATTCTTCATTAGGAAATATTAGGATGATGAGAGGATCCCATGCTTAAATATATCTCTATATCCAAATGAATAAGGGGATTTCTTTTCCCCTTACGAAATAATATGCGCCATTACATGCAGAGTAGCCATTATGATATGGGTTATGTCAATACGAAACACATAGAGCCAGGTTCACATTTATATTTAAAAAAAAAAACTTAATACCATAATCATTAGATGTGTCTATAATTAATGACAGCTTGACAGTCTGAAATACATTGAGAAATTGATTGAAGGAATATTAGCTCAATACAGTATTAATGTGCAACTAATTGCACATGCATGCTTGATGATGCTGGAGAAGTTTGGCTTTGCGAAGAAAAGTCAGTAATGAGTCTAATGACCCCTTTGAATTTTTTATTTATTTATGTACATTAGATTATTGTTTATAGAGCGTAATGGAGAAAAATTCTTGAATAATTAAGTTCTTCACTGGGTACCGAGTATTTTAGGCTCTCGTGGATTTGAGCTGGAATGAGCTGCACCATGTGGAAAATGGGCGATGGTAGATATATGGTTTAAATATAATCGCATGGAAATTGACACTTTTATGAAGAAATTATAGTCAGTCTTTTTAACTCTTTATCGTTTTTAAGGAAGCTATCATGAAATTTGTAATATCTTATAACTGCTTTAACCATCCTTTAGATAAAAACCCCACATAAATGGAAATTTTAAAATGATCATTTTGCTCATTTATACTTACGTTTCAATCCTTACTGTGTGGTCATACAATCACCAGTCTAACCACTGTCGAGAATGAGTCAATGACAATGTCCTTCTACAAAAAGTCATGATATTTTTTTTTATAGTAATTTACAACTATTGATTTCAGTAAAATCATGAAACCCATAGTAATTTACCCATAATAATTTCTTAAAATTCACCATCAAATATAGTTATCAAAGCCTAGAATAGGATTTTCTATCTTATTTGCTATAATTTTGACTCAGGAGAACTTACTAGCCACTTGCTATTGTTTTGTTGGCGGTATTACGTACCCCACCTACATTTGGTGAGAGTCAAACTTGGTTATCACTTGACCTGGGTTTAGCTGACAAATTGCAACATGATGGCTTGATTAAAGTATTCGAGAATCTACACTTATCATGTTTCTTAGAAAGATTTGTTAGATCTACATCATAAACTTGAGATCTAAAACCATATAGCCATGATTAATTCAAAGAGATTAACAATGATCTAAAAGAGCGGAAGCTTATACCTGAATCCATTGCTTGATCTTGAGATGGGTATTTATCTTCTAACCTTAGGGTTCTCTCTAGGCGAATTTCTCTCTTAGATGGGGGTGAAGAGAATTAGAGAATGTAGTAACCCTAGATTAGGGAACATAACCCCTTATTTATAGATGTTGTACTTTTGTAATTTAGCCCCTCAATAAATCATAATTACAACCTGGTATCTGCACATATAACCCCATGACTTATTTAAATACCAAATTAACCCAACTTAATTGATCACTTTAATGGGTTATCCTGAAAGATAGCAATACACATTGATTAATCATATGTGCCCAAAAATAGATTTATTAGATTAAATCCAACAATCTCCCACTTGGGCACCATATGATTCCTTAAATTGTGTATAACCTTATGAGCTCAAAAAATGCTATCACTGAAAAGGTATTTTCGAACAATCTCGTCCATTGACTATATCAATATAGGATCAAAGCGGCCTTCGTCACATTTATCGTGACTCGACCCATCAATGGTCACATATACCAATACAATCAAACGACATAGATCAATCATGGATGTGCAGCATGAAAATTACATGCAATGTGATCAGTACATGTCTATTTTCAACTGGTCCTCCTTAGTGAGGTCAAAACCAAACATAATGTAACAGAGTGACTTAACTGAAAACTTTATTCTGATCAGACAATACAACCAAACATAAAGCACCACAATTACAAACTCCCACTAAAACATAACATCCTCAAATAATACCACACCCATATGAGCAGTATGCTCATGAAAGACCTTAGGTGGCAATCCTTTAGTAAGAGGATCAGTGTAGGCTGTCTAAAAATAACAATAGATAGTTGATCCCCCCATCAAACACCGATGATGGAAGTTACAATCTGACGACTTCCAGAAGGCAGGTCTACACATTGAGGATCTTTCAAACGTAGAGTACAATCTGACGACCTTACCAGCAACTAATGAAAGCCCCAATGCCAACGCTCACAATCAACATTCGAGAGTTACAACTCTGATGACTCTCGTATTTCAAGCATGACCAAGACGAAATTACAACGAGGGACGAATCTGTGCAAAGCCTCTAAGCAAAAGAAATACAAATTACGGTCTCTTCATATAATGCCAGAATCTCTCAACGCTAAGGAATTTGGCAAAACGGTAGGAAGCTGCAACCGAAGCTCTTCGTCTAGGTTCGAGTGGCCTCCTTCTCGTCAAAGATAGCCCGATTTTCATATAAATTGTCCAATTACCGACTACTTTGAAAGTTATGACCTGTTCTTCATAAGCAGTAGTTGGCTTCTCGAAGCCAATCTGCAACGCTGAGACGTATCGTCGCAGAACATTGCGGACTTAGCACTGAAGATCTCGCCAAGCCCGCTTAAGGTTCGCTCCTTGCATACAGAGTCAAAACGCACCGATGCTCAACCCTGCGTTTTCAACATCAAAACGCAGAAATTAATCCTAAAACAGCACAACATGTGCGTTTCAGCCCAAACAGGCTTAACTCTGCGTTTCAACCATCAAACGCAAGTTTAATCTCTAAAACAGCACAACTCGTGCGTTTCAGCCTTAAACAGGCCACAACTCTGCGTTTTCAGCCATAAAACGCCCAGATTCATCTCTAAAAAAGCACAACTGTGTCGTATTACGGCCCAACTGATGCGTTACAGCACGAATTGTGCGTTTCAAAAAGCCAACCTGTGCTGTTTATGGCCTCAACTGTGCGTTGTTCAGCCCTTTATAACGCCAACTGTGGCGTTTACAGCAGAATTGTGCTTTTACAGCTAAACAATCCTAACTCTGCCGTACTCAGAGTTCAATTACGGCACCGCCGACGTGCGTACACCATCAGAATAGCCCAACTACTGCGT